AGGAAATGTGCTTTTTTAAAAGATAGGATCAGATTTTAACATACAGAGTGCTACTTTGAAGGCTCTCTGTGGTATAAAAACCTTGGCAACCATTGCCATCCAAAATGAAATATCATATTTTGTTCTTGGTATATGTTTCAAGGCTCTTTTTTCCATTATTTGGTCACATTTTATCCAATAATTGCTTTTTACTTTTACGTGTATGACTTTATAAAATTCAATGAATTTTTTTTTTACTTTTGAATAATTTGTTACCATAGTAACGTATATAGTAGCTGATTTACCAAACATGTTTATCATGCATTTGAGACATCTGACCTTCAACTTTTGGAAACAGTCATTGCCAATTGTTTGCTTTGCCGCAAATGTTAACTATGGGGCTCTAAATATGTTAAAAAATGCCATTTTTCGAACTTTAAGACATGTTGCCATGGTAACTATAAAACATAGCAACCAATTTTTGCCTGATTTCAGTTTAGGGTATCAATAACTTTTATCATAGAGAGTTTGGAGAAATTCTGAGACTATGCGTGCCACAGCTCCTATATAAAAATTCAAGTCATTACAGAGAATGGCTCTTAAAAATTCAGTTCTAAAAATATATAAAAGTTGTTACTAATTGTTTTGAAATTTTTTTTGTGTTTGTTGGTTTTTTTGTTATTATTGTATATTTTTTTTAATTTAAGATTCCCTGACAATTACTTCAATTTGAAATACCCTTTTATATTAAGGATGGAAGGAAAAACTTTTATTTTATATTTACAAAGTAGATAAATGATTCCTTCAGTTTTAAATTCCCTTTTATACATCAATTAAGCAAGGATTGCAGGAGAAACTCGTACATTATTACAAAGTTGATTGAGTAAGTAAGTACATATATGTAATAACCAAATAGAAATGAAGCCATCAGGTTTGATGTAGAAAAGTCCAAATTTTGTTTGTGTTAACCAAAAACAGAATGTCATCTACCCTAAATACAGTTATATATATGGGTAAAAACATATTCTGATGAAAGAGAGCACTTTACACACACTGCTAAATCTCCAATTTAGAAAAGTGTTTTTTGAAATTGAATTGCTCTTAAGCCTAGTTGATTTATCTGTCAATGATATATGTGATCTAAATGTATTGGTAATATGCTAATTTTATGGCATTTCTTGTAATATGTGCAGGTTGAGATTTTGCATTTAACGAAATGTTTATGGGAACAAATATCCCACCTGCTGCGGTACCTAAATAAGCATAAACTAAGACCAACTAATTACCAGATGAGATTTGCATAGAGGTGTATAGCTGTATTGTGTTATGTACCAGTTTTGTAGAAAATAAGGAAAAAGAGGCTTACTTCAATGTAAACATGTGTTCCTATGATTTACATGTCCAAAGGCAACCTGTGATCTCAAAGCCTGAGAAAGGTCAAAAGATTTTCTTTGGGAAAGGTGTTTAATTTGTCTGGAAAGCTTGTCCATTGTTTAGAGTGGGATTCCATCTATCATACAGTACATTCATTTCATTTTACAGCTTTTAATTTAGGAATTTTTTAACATTGCTGGAAGCAAATATATTTAAGACTTTTTTTATTTGTATGTGCTAGATTAAGAATTCTTTAATGAGTTAATTACCTCTTTATTGAAATTAAAAGGCAAATTCAAATAATGGGGTATAACTCTGATTTTGGATGTAAATACCGGCCCTTCTTGCACTCATAGTCCATGGGACAAATTTATATTAAATGCTTTAAATCATGTTTTATCTCGTGAACTTTGTCCAGTCATAAATGTTTCAAAATTGCGATATCTATCATAATTTATTGTTATAATCACATCTAGAAAGTGTGTAAATAAATTTTGTTCTTGTTTTAAAAAATAAAATAAAAGAGTGGTTAACCTTTTATAGTATAAATATGTATAATTGTAGAGTCTACTGTGTTTTTCATTTCCATGTTGGAAACTAGTCCTTGTGTTCGTGTCCAGTCTTCACCAGGTCAAATCCTGATCGTCTAATATCCTTATCATTGTCAGGGATTTAAGGGGCTTTAGCATTCAGTTATCATCCATTTCTTTGTTTTTCCCACAAAGTGAGAAAAGTTTCAACTTGTTTGGTCATTTTATGAGAATGTCTGTTTACCATGAACTCCAAATCTGTTATATATTGTACTGCGTTAAAGAAGCTTAAAAGATCGGACCCTCAAGTCTTGTTGCTAAACAAATTGTTCCAAACTTGATCCTTTAACGATACTCTAGATAAGCAATTCTCCGTAGAAATATGTATAAAATTACGCCACATAATTCATAAAAAGCCTCAGTACTCGGACTTGATCTGAACAAGAGGTGTAAAAATGTCTAAGCCTTTTATCGCATATCAGAGAATTAGAGATTGTACAAATTAAAGATTAACTTTTTTACCACTCTTCAATGTTATTAATTGTAAGTAAGTTTTTGTTCTCTCAGCCTGAACTATCTGGGAGAACTTTAATGTAGGAACTCTTTCCAGCATACACTGTTGCAAATAACAATAAAGTCTGAAGAATATGAAGATAAAATCTCAAAAAACCAAATTGTTTCTTTTGAAAATACTGTTCTTTTTCCTTTAAATTGTAAATTAATCCTCAACTTTGCATGTTTTTCTGCAAACTGTCAATAAATTTTCTGCATATCACAGAGAATGATCTGGGGATGAGAAATGTAAAAAGATTAAAAATCAGATTTAATTTTGAGTGGGTGAGACACATTTGTTTTGACATGATATCAGAGTTGATTTCATCAGACGTAAACATTTCTCCAATGCAGAAGTTCTGTGGTCTGCACCAAAAACCATCCAGGACCCTGCACCCCTTTTTTCCATGTTGCGGTGTCATTTGAAGATTATCACATTGTATTCATTTCATTTGTATTGGTGAAAAAATCTTTTAACAATTTGTTAGACTGCAATTATGTAATCATTTAATTTTAGGTAAAGAAAAGTCTTGATTTTTGAAACTGTTATCTTGGAAAATGATACTGTGAAAACTTCACTTATGGATTTAAACTCCCACTTATTTTCCATGACTTGGAGATTTACAATGGATCATTGGGTTGTACATACAGATTTTGGCCATTTAATTTGAATGGTATATTTAAATACAAAGAATTAAGTATTAACTTTTATCTATAGCTTGATAAGTAAGCGTAGTGGACCCTGCTGACTCACAGTTTGTAAACAAGAAAACATGGACAGTGTAACTTACGTGTCAAAATATACATTAAATATGAAACAATGGAGGGTGTCCAAAAGTATCCTTAAAGGTAAAATTTCATGTAGATTTTTACGTCACTTTGTAAAGGTGTCGTTTTCCAATAAATAATTCATGATTTTTATCAATAGGGTAGAAATTTAAAACCATGTCATTCATTGGTAATTTTTTTTTTAATTAGTTCCAATATGGTAATAACTTTTTGTCATTTGGCTAAAATGCAACATTGATTAAAGAGCAAACTTGTCTGTAGAAGGCGTAAAAGATTCTAAAAGGGTGTGAATAAAGAAGGGAACCTTGTACACCCATTTCTATTGCAGTTCTTATATTTCCTCTATTTGAACAACGTTGGAATTATTGACATTACCAGTATATGTCTATTGCTTTGCGGAATCTTGATCTAATGGTAGAAGGTCGAGAGTGAAATTTATACACATTGACAACGTTTGGTATCTTCTAATCCCCGAATCAGTTGAAAACTGGTCACATAGTTTTACAGAATCTTCATTTTCTTTTCATTTACCTGTAGTCTGTGAGGGGACGTCCCTCGTTAATTTCTCTCCTGTCAATAAAACAGCGTCAAGGAATATTTGAACTCAAACGATTGATTTTGTCCTGGATAAATTTGATGCAATAACTCCATAATGGAATCTTGGGGGTATTATTGATCTAGGTGGAATGTATTTTCGTACCAACAGGTCATGTGATACAAAAAGTGCATCTCCAATCGGAAGGGAAAAAAACACCTTGCAATAAAAGTGTCGTGAATTTGCAATATTACGATTAGGAGCATCAGATTCTCACAATGTCAAGTGGGATTTTACTTCAAGTTGGAAGTAGTTGAATTTTCTGTTGTATATTATGGATCGTATGTATTACTACCGGAAACGTTTAGGTAATATTTGTTACCTATAGTACTGTATCTAACCCAACGAGAGAAAAATGTTTTAAATGCTCTTGTTTATTGATGGTATCCGTGCTAAATGTAAACAAAATTATACAGCCTACTTGGATTTTCTATTGCCTCTCTTGACCTGACAAGAGAAATTTGCTAGCTTATTATTCCAGCTGAGACATAAAAGTGAAAGCCAGAATATATAAAAATCTATTGATCATTGTTTTTTTTTTTATTTTGTTGTTGATTCTCTCTCTCTCTCTCTCTCTCTCTCTCTCTCAGGTGATTTATCATGAGTACAGTTTTATGTATTGAAATAATCACATTCCTTTCTTGGTCTTTACAAAATTTAATCTTGATTAAAATTTAAGGAATTCCCAAGAATGCTTCTGTAAATTAAGTTTCAAAAATAGTACTCAAATGCATAGCTACTGTCAAGCATTTTAGAGGAAGATGAATTGTTTCCAAGAGAAAAACTGAGTTTTCAATTTGCTTGGAGACAACCCAGAGTATGCATCAGGTCTGCATGTAGAGAACTACTTCCTTTGGAAATGATTCAGTTTGCACTGTTGTTTTAGAAATATAAACAGTGTGCAATGCTTCCCTTCATCTCTATCCAAAAGCCTGCAAGTGAATTATACAAGATGTGTTTTCAATTGACAGTAGATTGAATGGAGTAAAAATTCAAGAAAAGAGCTAGTTCTTTTATCCGTCCGCGATCAAAGCTTAGACAAAGACACCATTCTTATTGCATAATTATCTTGACATGCTTCATTTCATTGTTAAATTTTGTTTATATGTTAAAAATTTCTTTGTGTCTATGCAAAAGAATAACATTCCACAGTCAATTAATTTTGTATTGTCATGTTACAGAGAGAGAAAACAGCCGAGACGCAGGGCAGGTAGATCAGAGAAGAAGGAGCCTAGGATCACCGTCAGCTACAGTCGTACGAGAAAGTGGCGACACGCCGAACCACAGACACGGGAGACGAGCATTTCATAATCGAATCAGTGAGGATAAGGTGTCTGAAAGTGAGGCCAGGGTGACAGAGACATCTAGTGGTAAAGACTCGCGGAGACAAAGTGTTACATTACCTATCAGGGGAGACAACTCTCCAAAAAATCATAAACTCTCAGAACACAATAAGATTAAGTGCAAAAAGAAAACTTCAGAGGAAATTCTTGTGGACCATAAACCTCCTATCATACCCAACAGAAGAGATTCTACTCATAATAATCAGGACTCAAAACATCCTTCATCAACTCAAAACAATGAACCAGCAGTGTCTCAAAATAATGTGGAAGAATCAAAAGTAATATTAAGTCGGAGTAATAGTCGCAGCAATAGTGTAGTGGACACGATAGTCGGGAATTCTTCCTCAGCCTGGCTAGAGAAAAAGAAGCGATCTAGTTCCCTGCCGACATCAGACCGGTCTCAGTTGAGTACGTTAGACATGGAGGCAGCGTTTTCTGAACTTCTGAGTGCCGTGGACGATGATGTGGACCCCTTATCTGATACTGAGGTAGTCATTTAGTCTGGGAAAAAGGCATTATTTTAAAGATAAAACTAAGATAGTGAATTATTTTTATTTTCATTTAAAGAAAAAAAGAATAGCTGATTAAGAAAAGCAGAGGTTTTGAACTTAAATATCACATTGCATTTTCATCAATATTCTATAGCTTATAGTTTCTTAAAAAATTACTTTTAAAAAGTCCTTTTAAAGAATTCCAAGTCCTAAAGTCATAAGTGTACTATTATTTCATGATAATAAGCAATATCAATTTTTATTTAAATTTTCCTGAATTGTTTAATGGTATTATTTAAATGTTGTTGAGAAAGGTGTGGGAGAGGGTATCTAATTGATAATAGACCTATTCAGAGAGAAGGGGAGCAGTCCTGCACGTTTGTGAGTTGCTAAGGTCTGAGCCAGCGTGAGGCAGGACAAATAGAATAACATCCAAGCAACTCAGTCAATAAAACACTTTTTTTATGATTCACACAAAATTAGTCTTTTGTCCCAACATTGATTTACATGTTAATGCTAAAAGTAGACCTGGTGATTTCACATGTAATAAAATCAATCTAGGCCAGTTTACATGTATTTAATAAACCTTGTATCTGTATAAAGCCATACAAAATCAGAGAGAGGTCTAAATGCAATCTGCATAGAATATAAATGGGCGTAATGGACTTATAATGAGTCCAGGTATCCCTTCAGCTTTAGGACAATTTTATTTTTTGGAGGGGAGTCTGTGTATATTTTGCAGACAAAATAAGTTCATTAAAAAAATATTTTATAAATGGAGATTTAGTGATCATTTATAGGGTTTATTACCGCCTTGATGCCATTTAACCAGCTGATATCATATCCTTGTAAAGTAAATTTGATTCCGTGTATATAAGTTGGCATAAGACTCTTGCGTAGGGTGGAATTAATATGTCAACCGCAGGTTTTTATTTTTACTGGGGACTGGTTCTGTTTTTATTGTGAGTTCATGTAGAAAATTTGACAAGATCACTTGATATGGCCTTGCAAACAATCCCAGAACATTTCATGCTTTTATTTTCTACCTGAACTAGTTTTGATTCCCTGATACAACAAAAAAATGTCATTTCATGCAATAACTGGGTCATATATTTTTGTAATGTGGCTTCTGTTACAATGTCTATGTAAATTATACCCATCTGTTTCTCCATCAAGGGAGATAACCCATTTGATTTGCACTAATGACTGCCAAGTCAACCATTGTGTCACAAAAGGACGATTTTGACAAAAGCTATTTTAGCTGACTCTGAATTCTAATTACGTATTACTTGTAAAATCTCTAAACTGTGTGTAGGGAGGTTGCACTGATGTACATTGATTCAAAATTATAGGTAACGATTATCTAGTAAAAGCAGTGAATTCTAAATAACAAGTTTCCATTAGAGTGAAATTAGATAAAAAAGTAGATAGAAACATGTTGCATACATCAATAATTTACAGTGTGTAATTTATCGACATGTCAAAGTTTATGACTGTGGAAGTGTTTCATTAGGTAAATAAGATACTCTGTTGAATTAGCAGGAAAAAGTCCAACCGAAAGAGACAGTAGAGGAGGAGACTTCCAGTGGAGCCATGCTGAAAGTGAACTTTGACGTCCAGCTTGTGGAACCCGTCCAGCCCACGGGGTCAACCATCTCAGTTATTGAGGGTGATGATGGGTCTGTGACCGTCCAAAGTGTGACCCAGAGGGATGATGGGGGTCGAACCGTGACGGAAAAAACACGGCTCAGACGAACGGAGAGTCACTCACAGGAGGAGGAGAGGGACACGGTCATAGAAAGCAAGGTCACCTCCCCAGGAGGGTCAGATAATTATGTCAAGGACGTCATCAAAACTCGCAGAAAGGTCACCTCCAGGGGCTCTGATTACTTTACAAGGACAGCTTATAATATTCGTAAGAAGACGGACTTTGAAGGGGAAGAAATTGAGGAAAGAGACTTTACTGTAGAAAGTGAAAATTTTTCAGCCTCCAAAGGAGAAACCTGGGGTGACAGGGCAGAAGCCAAAGTGCAGGTGTCAAGGTCAAAACAGCTGAGAGATGAAGAAGCTAAGAGACATGTTTTAGATACTCTTAAAGAAAGGGAACCAAGTGTAGATGCTAAAGAAAGAGCCCCCTCTCCCCATGGTAAACAGTTGGAAGTTGATCCAAAACACAGTGTTCTTAATCGTATGGATATCTCCAAGGCCAGCAGTGGTTATGGGACGGGGTCTGATGAGGAGGAAAAAGAAGAAATTGTTCCCATCTTTTGCGGTAAACCAGCAGGTAACGAATCTCCTTCTGAATTCTCATCTCAGCCTTACTTTCTTGAAATTAGAATTCTAGCACTTCAGCTCTATGTGCTCTTAGATTTGTCTTTGATAAGGTGGTTTATGTTGTCATCTCATAATTTACATCTTATCATAGAAACATTATCTGCTAAAAATCAGTGTTTCAACATCCATTTAACTCTAATTGCATGCGAAAATTATTTACAAACAAAGTGCAGGTTGAAAGACTAATTTAGTTTTGCATTGCTGTTTCACCATCAATCGTAATCATTTTCAGCTTGGAATTTTAACACAATAATTAGACACTGGCTCTGATAACTTCATCTCTCATGTTACTGACCCTTTCATTTGCAGATTTTGAAGGCATCTCAGTTCTCAGCATGTTAGAAAAGAATAGTCATGATCGAAAATTGCATCTCACTGATGTCTTAAACTCCAGCACCAGCTGGCGAATATGTAGGCACTGTGTTAGAAGTGTTGTCTCCCTTGCATGTGATAACCCCCTTCTTATATCAATGTGTACAATATAGTGTTTACCTGATGTTTTTCATAATTCTAACTGTCGTTTTACATCACATAAAAAATTCTCTCATTTCTAGTGGGTGTTTGTAAGTCAAGGTTCTTCCTCTTGTTGAGTTTGTTTATTTATCAGGATGGTGCTGTGTCCCACTCAATGTAAAATGTTTATTTCTCTTGTATTTAACATTTCTAAGGGAGATAAAGATGTAGTGAAGATTTTATGGAGCAAGTTGTATTTCTAAAAAAGTTTATGATTTTTCACAAGGACCATTTCTCTTAATTTCTGTGTTCAGGAGCAGTAAATGTCATTTGCAGAACAAGTGACAGCCTTTGAAGTTCTGTCTTGTTTTTTTGCAGGTTGTCCAGAGATTAAGTCTATGATGCGAGATGTCTCCACTTCTGAAGGGAGGAATGTGACCCTAGAGTGCACTGTTTCTTGTTCCCCATCCCCCTCTGTCACTTGGTTTCGGGGAGACAAGGTTGTTTGGGACGGGGCCTCGTTTGATCCGATGTCTGGTAAGGCAACCCTGGCCCTTCACAACGTGAGGAAGGACCAGATGGGGGAATACAAGTGTGTGTTCAGTAACACCCTGGGGGAAGCCCAAACCAAGGCCAAACTTACCGTCGCAAGTAAGAATTTTACAGAATTTGTTAAGATTTTAAAAGATGGATGGATATAAATGAAGAAAAAAAAAATAGAATGGTTATATCATGAATATTTTTTTTTATCTTTGTTCATGAATTTGGAGGAAAAAAATTTGTCAAGAAGTATAATGATTGCTGAAAAGACCTTATTTATACACTAATACTTCACTTTTTCAGTAATATTGAAAAAACAGACTAAACTTTGTATTAAACTACATGTAAAGAATTTAAGACTAAAATGTTCATTTATAAATATCAGGTGTAAGTGATAGAGCACCGCGGTTCCTGTCCAGTCTGGTAGATATGACTGTGACGGAGGGCCACGCGGTGGGCCTAGAATGCCAGGTGGTGGACGCCACACACGTATCCTGGTACAAGGACGGAATCATTCAGAGGAATTCAGCGGACTTCAGACAGACTTTTGATGGAGACAAGGCCAAGCTAGAAATTGGGGAAATATTCTTAGACGATCATGGAGAATATACATGTGTGGCTAAAAATGACAAAGGGGAGACAAAAACGTCCTGTAGGATCAAGGTTAAAGGTCAGTGAAATTGTTATTAGATTAGTTTAAATAATTTTTTTCACTGCATTTTAGGAAATTTGAGTCCAATTGTAAAACATCATATTTTTTTCTCATGAGAGAGATAATTAAAGATCAATGTATTCTAAACTTTTTTAAGTACATAGATATATTTCTATTGCTCCTTTCAATCTGTTTTGTTTCATTATATCAAAGCTCGGCTGAGTGTTTGGTTGTCAGAGTTATAGTTCATTGTTTTATGTATAGAAAAAATTTGACCATTTTATTTTTATACAGTACTGTAGTGTTAAGATCTGAAGTTAACCTAAAGCAGATGCCAAAACAAATCTAATTTAATTTTCAATGTGTAATAATTACTTACAACACTTACTTTATTTGTAAAAGAATTCTTAGGCTTTAAAAGAATAACAATATACTATACTGCAGGGAATGTTTCAGGTAAACAATTACCTATATATAATTACAGTCCTGTTGTTACAAGAGTGTGTCATCATTATATTATTTAGTTGTCTTACGCCACATTACCCACCTCCTGAGGTGTTGTCCTGTGTTTTCTTGGGATTAGGGATCATTTAAGGCTAAGACTTTAGACAAACATAATGTAATGCTTGAGTTAGAATAATTGGATTATTTCCACCTTAATCTTATCAAAGTCCCCGTCTGTGAGGGTTCCTCCCTCTAGCTAGTGATACTGGGTTTGAGATGTCTCTTGACTTTCTGACGTTTACACCGATGCATTGTTTTATTACAGAGAGTGATGGAGATGGGGAGGTGGCCCCACAGTTCCTCAGTCGACCCGAGAGTAATATCTACAGTTTCGGAGACCTGATTCTCCTGGAGTGTGATGTCATAGGCTCCCCAACCCCCACCCTGACCTGGTACCGGGACGGCACCAAGCTCTCTCCCAATACCCGTGTCAAGATGTTGTACGATGGGCGCGTGGCGCTCCTGAAGATTTCACAGTCTGCCACCGAGGACAGCGGGAAGTACGAAGTGGTGGCCCAAAATTCTTGTGGGAAAGTGTCCGTGGATTGTTTGGTGGTTGTTAAAGGTATGGTGCCCTAAGTCCCCCACTGATTGTGCAGTCATTTCTTTACATTGTCTAAATTACAGACTTGTGTAATTCAAGGCAATATTGAGCATGTCAGATTCAAAAGAAATTTAGGCCGATTAGCTGATCTAAGTAGATAGATCTAATCACTATAAGTATAGGTATTGCAAAGAGTAGCATTAAAAAGATTTCTTTGCAGTATTCTGTGTCATTTGATGATTTGAATTGCATCACAACAATAGAAAGTTTAATACATGATAAAAAGATTTCTTTCAATTGTATGAGAGGTACCCAATTAAAGTTTTAGGTTTCATTTTTATCATTGAAGATATTCCATTGATAACATAATACTCTCTTACTGGGATATGTTTTGTTCGATTTATTAAGTGCAAATTTATTATCAAGGTTTTGTTACGGCATTCAGATTCACAATAGACATGGAGCAAGACATAGATATAATTAAACTTAATTATTACTGCATGTTTTCTATGCCTATTTATCTTGGCTGTTAAAAATGCTCATTATTAAAGAAAGCCAACTTAAGTAAAAGCTTTTAGAACTTATTGCAAATTTGCAAATTCATTCACTTTATGATATAATAATGAACTTGTAAGTTGTAAAAGTAAATACAGTGTACATGTGTTAAAAATTCATATTAATAATTTTACATTTTTAGGTCACCTGAGTAACTCAGGTGACCTATTGCTATCCGTTTTCGTCCGTCGTCGTCTGTCGTGCGTCGTGTGTCGTGTGTTAACATTTGAACATTTTCAGCTTCTTCTCTGAAACCACTGGACCAATTTCAACCAAATTTGGTATACAGCATCTATGGGTGGAGGGGAACAAAAATTGTGAATTTCATGATCCCCGCCCCCCTGGGGCCTGAGGGGTGGGGCCAAAACCTCTAAAATCAATGCAATCTTTAAAAATCTTCTTCTTTACTCCTGGAAATCAAGCAGTCAAACTATTGGCATGAATGTAATGAGCATTGAGTCCTCTACCAAAATTGTGAAATTCAGGTCCCCAGGGTCCGGGGTTCTAGTGCTAGGGCGGGGCTCTAGATTATATAGTGAAAATGCATTATTTCTTTGAAAATTTTTCTCTGCTCCTGGGTATTAAATTCATTACTAAGCACATAGTTATGATGAGCAAGAGTCCATTTGTGAATTTCATGGCCCCAGGCTCAGGGGTTCTGGTGATAGGGCGGTGCTCTATAGATTATATAGTGAAAATGCATTATTTCTTTGAAAATCTTCTTCTCTGCTGCTGGGTATTTAATAAACAAATTAAGCACATAGTTATGATGAGCAAGAGTGCGTCTTCCAGATTTTTGAATTTTATGGCCCCAGGGTCAGGGGTTCTCGAGTTAGGGCGGGGCTTTATAGATAATATAGTGAATATGCATTATTTCTTTGAAAATCTTCTTCTCTGCTCCTGGGTATTAAATACACTAACTAAGCACATAGTTATGATGAGCAAGAGTGCCTCTTCCAAAACTGTGAATTTTATGTTTTGTTATATAGTGAAAATGCATTATTTCTTTGAAAATTCAGATAAACAATAGCACATAGTTATGATGAGCAAGACAGATTTGTGAATTTTATGGCCCCAGGGTCAGGGGTTCTGGTGTTAGGGCGGGGCTCTATAGATAATATAGTGAAAATGCATTATTTCTTTGAAAATCTTCTTCTCTGCTCCTGGGTATTAAATACACTAACTTAGCACATAGTTATGATGAGCAAGAGTGCCTCTTTCAGATTTGTGAATTTTATGGCCCCAGGGTCAGGGGTTCTTGTGTTAGGGCGGGGCTCTATAGATAATATATTGAAAATGCATTATTTCTAAAATCTTCTTCTCTGCCCTGGGTATTAAATACACTAACTTAGTTATGATGAGCAAGAGTGCCTCTTCCAAAATTGTGAATTTTATGGCCCCAGGGTCAGGGGTTCTGGTGTTAGGGGGGGCTTTATAGATAATATAGTGAAAATGCATTATTTCTTTGAAAATCTTCTCTGCTCCTGGGTATTAGATTAACTATCTAAGTACATAGTTATGATGAGCAAGAGTGCCTCTTCCAAAATTGTGAATTTTATGGCCCCAGGGTCAGGGGTTCTGGTGTTAAGTGGGGGCTGTATTGATTATATGGTAAAAATACATTTATTCTTTGTAAATATTTTTCTTTGCCTCTGGGTTTTAAGCCAATGATCCAAGTATATATATATTTATGATGAAGAAAGGTGATCTAGCAAAGTGGTTTTTAATGCCCCCATTTACATAGCCTTAAATTAATGCTTTGAAATCTGCTCTTTGGTATTAATCAAGCATTTTATGATAAAATTTGCAAAATTTTGAAAAATATGGCCCTGGGTCAGTGGTTCCTTTGGGGTGAGGTGCCCAATAAAGTGGAAGTGCATTTTCTCTTTGTTACTCTGATCACATTATGTAAGCATGCTAAGTTTATAATTATGATAAGCAATGTGTTAAAAATTGTGAATTTCATATTTAATTGTTTTAATTTTACACAATTTTTTAAAATATCTTGAAATTTTAACACATTTGTATCATGTAACACTATTGGTGAAGCTTTACGTATATCTGCTTCAAAGGAAGGCAGGATTGGATGAGATCAGTCACTGTTCTTTGTCCTCAATTGTTTATCTGTTAAAATGAAGTTTATTTACAAACACATATTGACCTCAAAAGGTGTCCGAGTTTAAGTCACTGTTGAATCATGTTAAAGAATTTTGATGCCAAGTGATCAATTCTGAAAATTGCCACCTGACACAACATCAAGACACTTCAACCTGTCAAAGAAAAATAAATATGGCTGATAATTTTATATTTTTTATCAACAATTAACACACATAGGTCTGATGACCTGGAAACTTCTTTTGAAAATGAAAGATTTTTGGGGTACCAAGATATGATAAGGTCTGTGAACTTAACAAAATCTAAGGGAAAAAACTAGAGTTTCAAATATATGTTTAATCCTAACTAGAGAGATGGTTATTTCGAGTGCACGTTTTTTGGATTTGGAATTTAAATCTTGATGCAAGGTAAAAGGGTATTGTCAGTATGAAAAATGGCATTTAAAAAATGTTTGGAAAAGTAATTTTGAGGAAGAAATTAGCCAGTTAATTAGCATTGATTGATGTGTTGACTCTAGATATTATTGATGTGTACCCTAATATTTTATCACACTCCTCATAAGTCAGGATAATCTACAAACAATAGGGTAGAAATTGTTAAACAATGTCGTGATACCTCTCAGCTCAGATAAATACAATTTAAAATCATGACCGTTATGACACAGGTACAATATATTTCATACAAAAAAAATTTAAGGCCTTTAATTCATTCTGAAGAATGGCATGTTTTTCCTCTTCTTTTTTAGCCAAAGAAGGTCCACCAGCGATTCTCCAGGCTCTGAGTGACACGGCAGCCACCTGTGGTAAATCCCTGACTCTTCAGTGTCAGATAAAGGGCAGTCCAATTCCTGTCATTCTGTGGAGAAAGGATGGACGCATGATAGGAAACACCTCCGACTTTAAACAGACCTACCAGAATAACATCGCCCTGTTGAAGATTCAGGAAATCATGGAACAAGATGGGGGTTGTTATGAGTGTGTCGCCAGGAATTCTTTTGGAGTTGTTTCCTCCAGTTGTACTATAACAGTAGAACAAGGTGAGATAGCTATTCTGTAGATGAGAGAATTTATTAATATGTATGCTTCATAGACGACACATGTAGTAAATTTAATTTTTATATGGTTCAATTAATGCACACAAGAGGAGATAACCTGGATTTTTTATCTGTAGGAGAGAAAAGTGAGAAGGGTTCCTCTGGCTATGTCAGTAAGAAGACAGACTGGCTCGTCGGAAGGGGAGGAACTCAACCAGAGGAACTGACTCAGCAGAGAAAGTCGGCTAGCGTTCGTCGCAGTGAAAGTGTGCGCGTGACCTCTACCTCTAACCTGGCTCTCAAGCCGACCTTTGAACCCATTGGTGCTAAGTCTCAGGAGAGACCCCAAACTCGCAATACTACACACACAGTGCAAGAGACCAGCAATAAAAATCTCACCCAACAGCAAGATGTCAGGTCAATAAATACTCCAGATTCAGCAGTTACCAGGGACCTTAAAGAAAAAAAGTCACAATCCCCCAGCAATATTAAGATCACAAAGGTACCCTCTGATGAGATTTCTAGCAATAACATTTCTGAGAAGTCCACTTTGCAGCCTAAATCTGAACTTCAGAAATCACATACTCAAGTCATTTCACCAACTGATTCACTGAAAGACTCACAGAAAAAGCAGGCATCTGTTAAAGATGATAACACCAAAAAAGCGAATGATCCTCCCTGGAAGAACATATCCCTCAGGCGGACGGAAAGTGCTCGTGTGACAAATAATTACAGCCGAGAGAAACCTTTAACATGGAAGAGAGAGGAGACAGAGAAAACTGAAAGGACAGTCCCCACCATTGTGGTGGAAAACACAGACTCTAACGTGGATAAGCCTAGTGGATGGAGGCCCGTAGTAATGGACACAAGTGTGGAAAAGCCGAAAGTGAACCTCCGCAGGTGTGAGAGTGCCAGGCACGAAAACAAAAGCAATATCGACATCATTTCTAAATTTCTGACAAATTCTCAGAACAAAGAGAAAAGGGACTTGAATGACAATAAGATAATATCTGTTGAGACACCCCAGAAGGATACCCCTGTGACCAAGTTAAAGACGGAGAGCACTGGACTCAATAGAAGTCAGAGTATGAGGATGTTGTTTGAGAACTTGGAGGCTAAGAAGAACAGGACACCCGCGGCAGCACCAGTGATGGCGTTACAGCGGAGGGAGCAGGGACTGAGACGGACCTCCAGCCTCAAGGTCCTACCCGGCGAGATGGAGTCCTTCAGGGCAGAGCACAACGCAAAAGTAAGTACCCAGGTCCATTAAAGTCAAGCACTGTTTGTCTCCCTTATCTGTTGGTGTTATCTCCCCTATGCATTCACTTAAAAGTGAGAAAAGTGTAGAGGAAAATATTTACAAACCACAGTACTTCCTTTCTTTTATTTGCTTATCCTTGTACATCAAAGAGTTTCAAACGGATTAGCACAATTTTAAATCACCATTTCTTGATTTCCACCTTAGAAGCCAAAGTGGCTTCCAATTAATTAAATCAGGCATTATTGCCCAATAAATACTGATAATGGGTGTGTGTTTGATCTGAGGTACGCTGCATGCTCTCTGATGAGATGTGCTCCATCTGTCTGTTCTTATCACTGGGAACTGCTGTAGATATATATATACTTTCTGTTTACTTGGCAATGATGCCACTTCATTGCTTGTGAGCTTGCAGCACCTTTTCTTTTTTCCTTCAAAAACTAGTGAAGGTCACAGGCAATGTGAGGAAACCTAGGTTGTGTTCTTACTCCATTGTTTCTTGGAGATTAGGAAACTATTCATTATTCTGTTGAGAGGTAGGAATGTGCATGATGTGATTATCGTAAATGCCTTGTAAATTTTTCATTTGTAGAATTTTTCAAACTTTTAAAAAGTATATTATTTATAATGATTTGTAGACTTTGTGTTTTGGCATGTGTACATACAACTAGCCTCAAGATAATATTTTTCATATTTTGAATTTTGATTTTTAGGATTTTTGACTTTGATTATATTCCTAGATTTCAGAATGTTTGCATCAGGTGAGGGACCTATGATCTTTGCTCTCTAAAAGCACCATGCAACTTTTCCTATTGTAAAACTTATCAAGGATCCAATAATTGTTTGATTATAACTAAATAAATATTCCCAAAATCTTTGAAAAAATATATAAGAAATATATATTTATAGTACACTGGTTTTGTTTTATCCTTTCTTTCTCCAGAGTTTTCCTATCTAAGATACATGCACCATTTTATGTTTTCTCGTCTCATTACAAATTGTAATGGTTACTTAGTGCCTGACACGTCTAAGTTGTGTAATTTGTAAATTGAGTTATCTGCCCTTCAGACAGATTGTGTCCATTTAGCATGCCACTTTTCCCCTCCCCTGGTGGGATTGACTGACCATATCACACGGAATCCCTCTGGGGAGATGCTGATTAAGGATTACCCATAATTCCCCTCCGTCTTGTCAGCCCTGTATACCTGCCATTACCCACTGATTTTCTCACAACTCTGTGAATCTGCCTAGAGCCGGTGCTTACTGTTTGTTTACAAAGTTTTTTGTTTATCATGTGGATCACAGCCAGCATCAGTTTACTGTATACCTAAAATGTAGACAAGATGATAGAGGCCCCACAATGGGGTGTTCAATTTTCATAAATCACCTACAGGTTTTTGTAGCAAAAGATTGGTAGCTGATTGGTTTTATGGTTTTGTACTTCATTTTGCAGGGTAATACAAAGTGTAGATTCCTACTGAATTCCATGTCTGTTTTTATTAACTTGTTTATATATACCAGATTTAAAATTTGATTTGACCGACTTCTATTGGAAAATTCCTATCTAGAAAACACAGCTTTAGAGATTATAATCTGCCTATTTGCAAATTACGATATTTTTTCTTCAAGTACAAACTAACTTTCATATCAAATAAATCTCATATGATTAATATATGGTTCTTGTATATTTTAATCACTGTATGTAATATTTATTTTCTATAGGCAGAGCCATCCAGATTTTCCAACAAGCAGCCAGACACATCTGTTACCATGGCATCCTATGACACAATAGAAGATGAGGAGGAGTTACATAAGTTGGTAGGTTTAATTTCCCCCTCCTACACAGGTATGCCGGGAGGAAACCCACAGACACAATTTGTCTCATTCCAGAACTCTCAGAAGGGGGAAGTCTTAGCTAAAAGTACAACCAGAGGGAAGAGCTGGCATAGCTTTGTCATAATTCATCCCTCTGTTAATAGTGATAGTTTATCTTAGTCCAAATCTCGTACACTCTCTCTTCAACAGTGACAGAATGTTCTGCCGATTCTGGGTCAGATGTGTACATATGTACTAAGATAGGTAGCTTTGATCTTCTACAAATCACTTTTAAGTAGTGCTATAAATACCAGAACATATACTATGTACACTAAACACATGGTCAGTGGCCAGATGCCTGTATTATGTATAGACAGGTGAATTCCTTCAGGAGCAGCCGGGCTGCAGCACCCATTACTTATAAACAAGTGCTTAGAAAAATGGAAAAGGAATCTGTTCCTCATTTCTGTAAATTAGATATAGAGGCTGAATCAGGAGGGGTCGCAAGACTTTAGTACTGTACATTTTTCTGTGCATTTTACAATAATGTTCAAACTGAGTCACTAAAAGATGAGTTTTTAAGAGCTGTAATGTTCATTTTTACAGATATTTAAAATTTTTTGAAAATATTCTGAAGTAGCTCTTGTGAAGTTCAGACAAGACATTATTGTTGGTATGTGGAATCTGAATTTTCTACCTACACCTGAATGTTGCTGTTAATTAGAAATGAATAAATACGAGGCTCGGTGCCAGGGTCTGGTGACTCAGTGCTCCGTGCTAGCAACCCCAAGAAGGCTCTGACAAGACTACTAGCGGAATGTCTTCTTTTTATCTCCTCCGGCTTGTAAGATAATTAACTCTCGTCATTTTCAATTCTTATACGCGGAACTCTTTTTCATGCTGTTTCTGCTTGTCAGGTGTTGGCAAGCTCCGCATACTTAAAAATTTTGCAACTATTTAATTGTTGGCAATTTCACTAGAAGTTCTAGAGTGGCTGAGACTTCAATTGCTCAAATGTTTTTTACATGCACAGAGGGTAAATGGAAATTCTAATGAAATGTACAATCAGTTATTTCTTTTTTTATTTAAACAAACAAAAAATTAAAACAAACATTTACTATGAAATCAATAATTTTTTGTGGGAGGTTAAATTCATGTTTTTAAACATTTTGTACTTATGCCAAGAACTGGAATAGTATTGGTTTTTCTTTATATTCTCTTTCCTTAATTTATCGTTGTATATGCATCACATGGAAGGCCATGATAACAGACAAGAAATACAGATTGATAGCTGATTAGTGCTCTCTTAATTGAGATTTTGGCTAGGTTTTATAGAAGCATTAGTAGAAGTCAACATCCCTCCTCCATTTAAATCTATGAGGAACAGTGAGACAACCAATAGGTGTTGTTTTTTGTGTTGTTGACACCAACTCCTTGTACCTAGTCTTGAGTAACGTGTTGTTTTTGTATGTTGTTGACACATATTTCTGTGTTGTTGGACTCTGCATTGTGTTGTTTCGGTCATTGACTTGGCTGTTTGGTTCCAGCGAGTCCCAGGTTTATCTGTAGACGGAGATCTTCTTGGCTCTGATGGGGCAGATCCCCCTATGAATTCAGAAAAACAAGATCCATATAGCTAATGGATATTCTGCATAACTCATTACCCCACGCACAGGGTTTCATATAATCATAGATTTACATGCTTTTTACCAATGATTTTATCTGAGGTAAAATTGCTCAGTCATGAGATTGCAATAACAAGGCTTTTTATTTTTTTTCAAAGAGGGAATTTTATGTCTCATGTCAACAGTCAAGATGTCAAATAAACATTAAAATATTTGACGCAAAATACAAAGGATATTAAAAATGCATTCTTGTATCTAAATAAAAATGAAAATAAAAAATATATATTCTTTAATCTTGAATTCTTGTTCAAACAATGTTCCTACACCTGTTTTGCAAAGTTTATACAATAAATTTACAATGCATGACCTTGAAAAGTTATATGACTGTCTTTGTATAAAAAGAGTGTTTTTTTAAAAATTGTTATTATGTTAAGTAATGTGTTTCCACCTGTTCTTATTGTAGCTCAGCAAATCTGAGAACTTTGAAGAGCGAAAGAAAATCCGAGCCCGCATGAAGGAGATTAGAGAAAAGAAACAAAGTAGGCCATAATTTCAATCTTGTAAAATGTGATCATTTAAGATAAAATGTATCAAATTCAGATGGAAATAAATAAAACATCCAACAGTGGCACTTCAGATTGCATATCAATTCTAACTATGAAAATATCTAACATCAAAAACATTTGAAAAATGGAATTACTTTTGATTATTACTCATAAATACTAGCTGGTCTCTGCCAAATTTCTGTATTTTTTGCAACAAAAACATATTTTATGATTTATTGAAAATGCACTATTGCAAATGAACAGTACTTGAAATGAAAAATAGATCTTGAGAAATGTTTCATTGAGTCATCCTGTTTTTACAGAGGAATGGGAGGCCAAACGCTTACAGAGAGAGGCAGAGACAGATTTTGTCAAAAAGAAGTTTGAACAGTCTGAAAAGGAAAAGGTACAGAGATTGAAAACATTTGAGAAATCGGCGAAGGAAGTGTCGGCGGAGCGGGAGAGGATCCTCCAGAAGGGAGAGGACCTGATCAAGGACAAGCTGAAGCATGCGGACGAGGACAAGAAGAGGCACCTCGAGACCTACGACAAACTGGCCAAGCATGAGGACAAGAAAGTCACTGTCCAGAAAACCCCAGGTGAGCCGCGCGTTCCACTGCCACTACATCATCAAATGCTATATGTGTGTCTATGGCCATGAAAGTTGTATTCATAACAGGGAGAATACTGCATGAGAGATTAGTTTATGGAAGCTTATTTTAATTTATATATTATGCACTATCTACTACTGATATGTACATGTATATCTCAATAATTTATTTTAATCATTATTTTATGCACTTTGCATGCATGATATAGCATATATTTACTAATGAAATATATATATTTTTAATTAAGCATATTAACAAGGGATTAATTTCTTGCACTTTTCTGTAATGAGGGTGTTGGGTATCTCTTCTGGGGGCTGGTCTATCACTGTTAACCCCTATTTCTTCTGTTCACTGGTAGATGGCGTAATTCGGACCACAATAATCAAAGATTCAATATTAACTCCTGTCGACTCTTCACAGTCTAACTCAGGTAAAACCCTCCCTACTTCACTGCACTCTTCTCAGATTTATCTTCTCTTATTATTCTCCACAATAAGATTTTTTAAGTGCTTTTTCATGTAATTTAAAGCATTAGCTGTTGAAGTACTTGTAGAATGTTTCTCTATTTGTAATTATAAACATTTTTAAATCTTACGCAGTGTTGACATTTTTAGATTTAGAAGTCAAGTATGGAATTAAAAATACAGCAAAATCTTCAGGAAAAATTTGAAACCCGAGGCATATATAATGATAAAACTCATTAGTAGTGATAAAATTACAGCTGCACATAAGCAATATTATTTGATGGGTGCAATCAAGAAAAGTGTTTCATCTTTCAAAATAATGTTTCATCTTACAAAGCAATTCCACATTATGGCAACAAGCATTTGGGATGAATCAGAAAAATGTAGCTTTTATAAATTTGTTCCCATGTAGCTGTTTTTAAAGCATGCTTGACTTCCCCATTAACAAAGAATGTGCATGGTTTACATGTGTGTTTTCCTTTTTGATTGCATCATGGAATAGAAGAGGCTGCTACATTCTTGACCAATCAGCTGATCAATACGTTATCCCCTGTAACCAGCGGTAACATAACCATCAGAACCGAATCCTGGAACAGCCGAGACGGCGTTACAAACACATCCGAGAAATCACAGTCCTGGGGAGGTAGCCATACATTTACATTTTACAAACAGCTGTTTTACAGTCCCTTTGGGCTGTTGTTAATTCAAGTTTTAAACTTTGACAAAGTAGAATAGGGCATGATTCAGCAAATTATTGATATACTGTCTAAACAAATTCTTTTCAACTGTATTAAAGTGTTTTTGCTTATATTCATGTCATTTATTTGGAGGATTCTTTGAATGGTGACATGTACATGTATGTTCTTTCAAAAACTAAAAATCCATGAAACATATGTACGCTTTCAATTAATTCTCTTAACATGTAAAAAGAGGCAGAGTGAGTGTATCATCTTGTATAGATATGGTTTATCATTTATTGTGGAATTGGTAAGGAATCAAACGGCCAATTAGTGATGACTGATGACAGTGGCTCTTTAGCAGATAAAAAGTTCATGACCTCCAAGGTCAGTATCTGCCAGTGGCTGTACAGGAGATATCAAGTATTTGACCTTTAGGTCCAAAGTCAAAGGATCAGATTAGAAAGAAATAGAGTTGTCTATTGTGGGGCTTTGGCATATATCAAAGTGTTGAAGAACTAAGGCATACATACATTGCTGTCGAGAAGTGCATTGGTCTGAATGACTTCTTTGTTAATAAACTTACTGTAGTATGTGTTAAATCATTACTGTATTGCTTGCTGTGCTGCAGTATCTTTTGTTTCCAGTGTTATGTAAAACATCTTGTACACTGTTTTGGTATCAATGATATGCATTGCAGCATTGTGATAGAAACTTTCAAAAGCTGGCAATATATCATCATCAAATACAGTCAATTTAAGAAGCCATCAGTCTTTGCGTCATCTTGTCTATACCTGATTCTGCTGTTTTGGCATTCCATAGTGCTGCAAGAAACATAGAATGAGGTTGTTTTCCTATATATTGGCAATGTCTCATCAGTCAACGTAAACTTACTTAATCTGGATTCAATTATTGGCTCGAATTAGATATAGTCTTAGATACATGCAGTATTGGCACCAATTAGTTCATCACTGATACTTGAAAATAAATGTGCTTGTCATATTTTGGGATCTTTTTGCTTTAATGTGATTGTGCGAAAAATCATGTGTATGTTTTTTTTTTTTTAAAATATTTTTAATGTGAAGTGATGAGACAGATTTAGTTTTGTCTTATTCTGTGCAGTCATCTGTTACTATATTGAAATCCAGCTGAATGTCTGAATTCATGTAGGGATATTTTTTTTCTATTGAAGCCAAACCCGCAGGGGCACAAGGCGCCAAGGCCATGTTCCAGAAGATGGACAATGCCGCTCCAAAACCAAAGTATGTATCTTATTTGAACTTTGCAAATTGAAATATTATCTCAAAAGATCAGCTATAGGGGTTGATCTTTTAACTGTTAATCCCCTATAAAACTGTGTGTTCTCTATATATAACTTATGGGCCTTCAGAGAATGATACATATAGAGACTGGTCGTTGAGAATTCCAAGGAGCACTTGAGAATCCTATGGTCTGAGTATTTGATCATGTTTGCTGCAATTTGAAGTATTTCAGGCAAACATTCTGTTTGCTTTGTATAAACTTGATGACTAAAATAAGATAAATTGGATACCAAATTTAGATTGTAAAAACTATTTGGTTTGACCTTAGTAAAAGTGTTACTGGTGTAAATTTAACTCGTGTTCAGCTAAGTCTTGGAGGAGTTTGACAAATATATGCTGCACAAGGCTGAGTATAGTTCAGTGTTTAAAATCAAAGCAAACAGATGTTACTCCTTTTTAGATGTAATTTAAATCCTTGAGGACAAGTGTCATGATAAGTTCCATTTCCAAATACTACAGAATGAGTTTTAAAAACTTGAATTTATTCTGTGATCTGGTTGTGATCACAAAAAACATATACTGGTATGCGTTGTTTTTTTTTTTTAAAAATGTTCGTAATTGCATGAGTGATAACAAAACCCTTAAAATGTCATAAGTAAATTTACTGTTATTCAGAGCTTTTAATTCATAGACTATTGATGAAAAGAATTGCATTAATTAGCATGCGTAAAAGACAAAGAGCAATGTATAATTAAAGATGGAAAAGTAAGGACTATTTAAGGTATGGTGCACAATTGTTGAGTTAAAACATTTATTTTACTTCAATAAATTGTCTGAAATTTAATGAAATGTTATTAAATTGAGGTCATTCTGTGCTGTATATCAAAATTGGCATTAAACATTAAAAATTATCATTTTTTAAATGTAAATAGCATATATATCTTTACTATTCAACTGGACCTTCAATCATATATTTTGTTTCTATGCTATGAATTTTTTTTTTTCGAATTTCTTATATGATCATTGATCTAGACACAATGTGCCACACTTTGAATGGTTTTCAGTTCTAGAGTAAATTAAGATTCTACCACACCAGCATGTACTAATTTGAAATCAGCATGAGCCTGTTTGTCCATGTTTGTGGACCCTATATTAACCTACTCTCTGTCATTTGTGCAGTGGTTTATTAACTGTGTCATACGCCAAAAAGGCAGCAACCACGTTGCGGCGAAATGCTGCCTCGATCAAACAGGAAATTCTTCGCTTCTGTCAGAACAGCACAAGGGAGTATGAGGTATAGCAGCTAGCCTGGCAGGCTAGCTATTGGTCAGCTGCTGGCTCACCGCTAACCTGTAGATGTATCACCAATCTTTTATTTATTGTACAGCGTGTTCCCACCTGCAGTTTTTCTAACATTCTTTGTTTTATATACTTTAATATTTTTTGTCGTTATATAAAGATTTATCTTTGAAGTTTTATTATTCTGCTTTAGATTCTATTAATAAGACCTTGATAACATAGATGTATATTATTTTGATTAAATTAACTTTTTGAATTTTTTTCTTGCTTTTTATCATTGCCTGATAGAATTCTGAACTAATTCTTCATATCTGTTGAATAAAAGATCTCGACAAGAAATAAAAACAGATTTGCAAAACGGTTTCATTAATTTCACAATCCTTGCAATAAAACATCAGGGAACAGATGAATGTGTTTTGACATTCTTCCAGATTCAAATAACCTGTTGTTTAATATATGCATTAGGAAAATGGAAAAGTGGCCTTCAAAAGTTGATTTATTTCCCCAGCAGAATTGCTTATGGTTTTGCTAACGTGTGCTAACATTTTGTGATTTTTAGTTATTATGTGGTAGACTTAGATTTTGTTGTTTATACTAGAGCTATATACACATAGAAACTAATTTTTCTCTTTCAGATTTTATTACATCTACAGTTTTTGAAATTTAGATATCATTAAAAATCTAAATTTCAAAGACCCCATATTTAGGTTATATACCTATATTTCTACTAGTGACTAACAAGTTGATGCTTCTTTCCTAAGTAATTTAGCTCCCGGGGGAGGAGGAGGGAGGGCCCTCGTACGAAGTCCTAGTGCTATCAAACAAATGTTACTGGACTGGACTAAAGCCATGACGCAGGAGTACCAGGTAACGCATGACTGCATGCCATTGTCATGGAAACCGGTAGACATGCATGAGCTACTGTGGTTGTTATGGGTGAAATCAGCTCTGAATTGGAAGTTGTACATGTACAAATATGTGCTATGAATATACATGTCCGATTTGGTGGTGTTAGTATGCTTTGCTTTATAAGTAGACTGCTCCATGCATTTTCATACCACTGTAGAGGCATTGCAGTGATAGAAGAATAAATTAGTTTAGTAAATGCATGTTCAGCACCTCCATTTCAGAGCAAAAAAGTACAAAATTAAACAAAAAAGTAGGCCCTCATATTTTAACCTGGTTGTGTAGTAATTGATTAACAGTGACCTGAGCTCACGTCAGTTTGATCCCATGCACCTGGTTGATGATTAAACAAGGAAGGGAAGCTAGAGTTTATGGACAATGGCTATTAAGTTATCTTCCAAGGTTTTTAATGTTCTAAGTACAAGTGCACCAAGCATGGTTCTGGAACTGTTCTTAGTTTAGTATAAAACTGATGTTAACTGGATTTTGAGACTAACTTCTTAACTGCTTTACTAATCAAAATTGTGTTTGCATATTCTGGTAGTATTTATAATCAAACTATTGTTTACTAATACACCTCAGTTCACTTTTTAAATAATATCAGATGCTGTATTTTAAATTGTTATGCTAAATACTGGTAATTTAATCAGAAAACGAGCTAATTTAATCAGAAAATGATGTAAAATTATGGAGAATTTTTTTTTTCATCACCTATAAGAATGTGTTATTATATATTTGTACATGTATTTAATGGCTTCTTTTAGAATGTGGAGATTACTAATTTCTCAAGTAGCTGGAATAATGGTATGGCTTTTTGTGCCTTGATTCATCACTACTACCCAGAAGCCTTTGATTTCAGCACCCTGGATCCAAACAAGAGAAGGCACAACTTCACTCTTGCCTTTGATACAGCTGAGTAAGTATAAAAAATACCTTCAAACCTTGAATAAGTAGGTCATGAGGACTCCACAAATCAGAGTAGGTCATGAGAACTCCACAGATCTGAGAAGGTTATGAGGACTCCACAGGTCAGAGTAGGTGTTGAGGACTCTCCAAGTCAGAGTAGGTCATGAGGACTCCACAAGTCAGAGTAAGAAGGTCATGAGGATGTCACAAATCAGAGTAGGTCATGAGGACTCCACAAATCAGAGTAGGTCATGAGAACTCCACAAATCTGAGAAGGTTATGAGGACTCCACAGGTCAGAGTAGGTCTTGAGGACTCTCCAAATCAGAGTAGGTCATGAGGACTCCACAAATCAGAGTAAGAAGGTCATGAGGATGTCTCAAATCAGAGTACAAATCAATGTAGGTCATGAGGACTCCTCAAATCAGTAGGTCATGAGGACCTACGAATTAAGAGTAGGCCATGAGGACTTTCCACATTATAAGAATTTGAGTAAGAGTTGATGTTCAGGCCACCCAGTCTGTGAAAATGAAAATCAGAGTAGGTCATGAGAACTCCAAATCCGTAAGAAGAGTAGGTCTTGAGAAGACCCAATCTCTGCATGTTTCTATCTAGATCTATGCATGGGACCTGACTAGATTGTAATGAGTCCCATGTTTGAGAAAGTGAATCGGAATAGGTCAAAGCTCTAAGTTTAATTTACACTTTCCATAAAGTTGATAGGTATCTCACTGGTTTAGCTGGTAGAAGAAAAGAACTTGTTTAGAAAAGAAATAAAATATTTCATGATTAAATCTATGAAATACAAAACACTAACCAGTTTTTCTGTGATTGTTTTGTAGGAAGTACGGAGATATAGCTCCTCTGTTAGACGTTGATGACATGGTTCGAATGCAGAAGCCGGACTGGAAATGTGTCTTTACCTACGTCCAAAGTCTCTATCGTAAACTACACACGCACGAACGCAACAGAACAATGGCCACGGTCGGCGAGTGACCGCAACACATAGCAATACATTAACGCAAACTCTATTGAAACTCAGACATTTGAAATAAAATATTTTTTTTATTTTCATGTTACTAGAAATCCACACCTCACCCTTTACGTTGATGCCAAGCTCAGTTTGTGTTCAGTTCCTAGGGCTCTGTCGTTAATTTGTTTATCTGTGTACAGGTCATTCAACCTTTCGCATGGAGTCCAACCAAGATACTAATAAGTCACACGTGCCAATATTTATTTTTTTTTTAGATGTAGCTGCGCCAATATTGTACATATAGTGATTTACTAGGCTTTATAGATTTTATTTTATTTGTATATAACTGATTTCTTTGTAACATAAACTGTAACTATTTTTGCAGCATTATATGAATATTTTAAATAGCAATAAACTTTGATATTATAATTAGTGTTTTCGCAGTGATATATTTGTTGGAAATCCAATGTTACATATTAATGCAGATATTTATGTGTGTGCAGCAATATACACTATATGTATGTTATTGTAGACTAAGATGTTAAGTATTGCGCAAAGGATAAGAAAACTATCCTATCGCGCACTTTCTATGTTAATGTGTAGAGACATAACTAATCTGCCAAAGCTTTGTACATGTTAAGAAATACTTTATACAGATCATTAAATGATGACTTAAAAAATAAAATAAAGTGAAAAGTGAAAGCTCTGTGTTTTATTTACAGTTTTATCTGTGGCTGCATTTAAGATGAAACGAGAACTTCTCTGCACAAGATTTTTTTACCAACTGGTACCGTTGTCGTTGGTTCTGCTATATACTTGAAGCCATTTTATGCAAATTGTAAAAATGTTAGCAGCATTACTTTAAACACGAAAAAGGAACACTATTTTTTCAGTCTTTGCTTACCCTCGCTCGAACACCCTTGAATGCTCTACACATATCGGGGGTACTCGATGAGAAGTACCGGTATGTTTTCTATTTATCTGTCGACAAAAGCTTCCTTTTATCTCAAATCATCACCTTTTATTATGTCATAATTACCCATTCCTAATCACCACCATTCGAATTCTGATTTGAATAAGTGATGGAATTTCATTTCCTCTAGGGGTTATCAAGATCAGAAATTAATACAAGACAGAGAGACAGCCATAAACAACCAAATGTAATGAATTATTTAATCATATTTGATCTGTATTAATTAAATTCACATTTTGCACACATGCATTATTTTCAAATTAAAAACTTGAATTTTTCTTTATTTGTGTTGTCAATTATATCTCGTATATGTATAGAAAGCCGACCTTGGGTGGTATATCAGAGTTTTGTAAAAACTAAAGAAAAAAAGTTATTTTCTAAAATTCGAATGGTAATGAACCCTCCGTGCCTGTTATATAAATTGTATCCATGTGAACACTTTACCGGTTTTATGTGTGTGTTTATGTATTTGTAATATGAAGTAATGACTAGAGACCATTATTAATATGTGCATGTATTTCTTAACTATCAACAATTGCAAAAGGTTAATAAAATGTGGATTTGTAGCATCTCTTCATTGGAGTATCTTTTTGATACGAACGCGTCAACATGTTTAAAATTTCGCACTGCGTTATTCAATATGAACTGAATAATTAATGAGCCAAAATGCATCCGATGGTATGCATTGAATTCTATTTCATAACATAATAAAATCAGGCAAATTAACTTTCATGAACCAAACGTCATTATTTGTTTGACAACTTGAACTTCATCATTATTATTCATAATAAACACAAAATAAGCAAAAATGAGCGATACATACTAGGGTCATTCTACTTAACTATTTCAAATGAAATTCATAGCATGGCAATAAATTTGAATCTTATAAATTCAATTATACTTTTATCTAATTCCATTGATTTTTATTATCTTTGTCCTGTGAATTCTACTTTGCAAGTAAATAGAAATTATGAAGGAACCTCTATAAAACACCCCGTACTGCTGTAGAAAAGAACAATGTATGTTTTGGTTAACGATTACATTTATCCAAGATACTAGTATATGCAGGTGGGGTAACCAGTCTTCCAAAATTTGTCACAATTCGCTACATAATGGCAGTAATAAATACGTGCATCTTCTTGAAGGACAAGGTCTGGTAAGGACAAAAATTGGCCCTTTGTTAGTGTCAACACCAATCACAATTGAAATTGGTATAGTCTGCAATTAAGAACCTTATATTATGCTTGGTTTTAAACAAGCATTAAGTTTGATTGAAAGCCTACATGAAGGTCACAAGAGTCGACAAAGTCATTTTCTGATGGAATTTCGCCATATGCGAGATACTTTTCATTTTGGAAAACAAATAGCACAGGCTTGCCTATCTGCAATTTTCATACTCAAGTTGTAGCTATTACAAGTACTTGAAATTTACTAGATTTGTAAATAATAACTGCTCTGCTTTTCTGAAACAAAATGTGACTTTAAATTATAAAAATTGGGGAAAATGGAGAAAAAATGAAATATGATCTTTTGATATTCTGTGTGCAAAAAGATTACACATAGATATTTGCTTTTCTCTTAAAAGCATCCAAACTTATTTACATATAAGAAAATTATATAAATTGCCATGATTACAATTGATAAAATTTATTAAAAGTTGGTAATTAACCTATAAGTCACAATTTAAGTGCTAAAAGGTCAAGTTTATTGTGCCGTTGCTTATTGAGATGAAATGTATAAAGATAACAAGCGGTAATTATGCTCAAGAGTCCATCCACGTCATACAAATCAGGAGCAGAGCAAACAAGGGCCTCTAAAACATCAGAGGTGGGGTCAGGTGCCATGGAGGAGTGAGTATCCCCTTCCATGTGCTCCCTGTCGTGATCGGAAAATAACGGGAAAAAATCCGTAGACAATTCAGTGTGTAAATAATGGCCTAACAATTAGTATGACAAACGTTCATCAGCATTAAACTTTATGATAGACTGTAATTACCGACAAAGCCGTTGTATCGATCTTGAAAAATGATATGACTTTAAACGAGACTGTTGATATTCTTGTTTCATCAACTTCTTTGTTAATACCTTACCTTGTTTTAGAAATCTTTCAAACGAAGATCATTTCCTTGCGTATCGATTCACCTGCGAGATATTAACCCCCATGTGCAGTTGATAAGGGTATATTTCTTCTTAGGGTACAACGTATATTCTCTTCTTTCGTACTGTGGCGACTTGTGCTTGAATTGATGGACTCATCCAAAATAAGTTTGAAGGGAGATAAGCAAGTACATGTCTCATTCAATATTGCACCAAACAGCGCATAAAAGATAATTTATTTTTTGCCATCTTGAATCGATAGATTCTCATACATTTAGTTTCCTCCACTCACCTTAACTATTACTCTTTTATGAAAGAATGGTAGAAACTATTCTACTTATTCTTATATATTATTATGTTTATTCACCAATCAAGGGCCCACAGGGGGCATGAACAATTATTAGAAAATGATAACATTGATTACAATTCTATATTAAGTTAAGTTTGACATTGAGAAGTGCATCACCACACTGGATCAAAAGCATAGAAACCATAGAATGATAAAAGAAAACACAATTAAATAAAAATGATAGATATAAGGTAAATTAAAAACAAAAAAAAAAAAGACAAAAAAAAAAATCTTGTAGTAATGGCAGTACTCTAATATAAAACTAGTGCATCTTGAATACAAAGGGCACCAGGGGATAATACCTCTACACAGCCAGTCTGGCAAACCTGTACCCTAAGTATTGAAGATGGTCATTCAAAAAAAAAAAATCATTTAAGTATTAACAGAAATAGTAATTTCAATTAATAAGTACAAACAGCATAATCTCTTGGAGTTAGTCAATAGCATATGCATACCCACATACACAAACACACACTTACTGTTACACAAATCCATGCATACAAAAATAATAATTTATATACAAATATATGTATGTATAGTATATATTATAAACATACACTTATTGTTACACATATCCATGCATACAAAAATAATAATTTACACACAAATATATGTATATATATAAACAAATGGTACTATCCTGTATAAATGTAAATCTGTGATCTTGAAGGTAGCATACAATTAATGTAAAGAAAAGGTAACTTGGATACAGAGGGTACCAGGGGACGATGCCTCTGCACAGCCGATTATACTGGCAAACCCGTACTCTAAGTATTCAAGACACCCATTCTGACTGATTATGATATGTTACATGCGAAATTTAATTTGATATTAGATTCCCGCGATCTTAAGCTGCATGTGTTGGCTGTCTACACACACCTCTTTATTTTAAACCTCAACCGCACCCCACCCCAAAAACAAAGAAGTTTTTCAAATTCTAAAAGAAAATTCTTTGTAATCTTCGGAAATGCTGCAAATGCATTCAATTTTTAGGCTTCAGTAGTTTTTGAAATGTGTTTATTTGCTTTCAAAGAAAAAAGGGACGTAAACCAAAGACATTATTTAGATCTTTCCATACGTGTGTGTGAATCCTTCCTTGGTTTTTCACAACCCTGGAACCCCTCCTTTCAAAAATGGCTGGATCCGCCCCTGAGCATGAACGATGTCAAGTTCACTTGAAATACAATTTATCCATCAATGGACACACACTTCGATCAATGATGTAAAGCTTATGTTCACCACGCTAGATATCCTTTGCAACGTCCGCTGATTTTTCCATAAGACGTTTACCACTGAGGATGTCTTCGAGTTCAGATTTGACATTTTTTTAAAGGACATGCGCAAGATTCATTCATCAATTATAATGTGTACATTTAATGAAAAAATACTTGTTTTGATAAACAAAATCTCACCTGAAATTTTCTATAAATGAGAATAAAGTAAATCCATGTTGCATAATATTCAATCAAACTCATTACTGAAAAAAATAGTAGTAGTTTCATTTCCCCTCAAATTTCTTAAAACAGAAGGTCGAAGGTCATAAATTGAAAATATGTGCCCTGATGAAAATATTTTGAATATTTTAATGAAATTGATGGAAGATTAATTATTGAACATGAACACCACATGTAAAAAACAAATTAATTTATGTTAAGTAAAAAGTACCAAAAGGTGTCAAGGAAATGAATGATGGAACACGACAGATAATCAGTGTGACATGTCAAAACATGCGACCTACGTGTCGAGCAATTGGAAATGAAAAAAAAAAATCAGAAATCTATGAATATTGAAATGGAACAAGTCATGCGCTACAGAGTGGGGGTACCGATTCCCGGCGCTCACGACTACCGAATTATGATTTTCAATAATAATTAATTAATTAATAAGTGCATCGTTATCTATGACAGGTATAATGACGACCTTTCTGAGAGTTCTAAGGTATATAAGGCGCGTGTGATCGGCGTTTCTGTACTCCATCCATCATGGTTCAGTCTAGAATTGCTTTGGTGTGTTTGGTTGTCGTGTTGCCTTCGGTAGCTGTAAGTAGTTTTAAAATAATATGATACAAATAACGGTACATGTACCAATAAAACTGTACTTGTACAAAAGTAATAAAAAGAAATGGACAATATAAACAAACATTTTGATCATGCAGGAATTAAAAATATAAATTCAAAAACAATTTTTTGTTCAAATTTGAATGAATTTACCCTTACTGAAATGACTGAATTCAATATGATTCCCTCTTTATGATTGTCTTTGTAGATAGTAAAATTATGTCTGTTAATTTACGAATTTCATACAAATTTGTAAAGTTTTCTTTCGTTTTTTTCCGTAGGGCTGGTGGTTGGCAAACCAGAACCAGAATCTGAACAACAATGTCAACGTAAACACAGGATTTTATGATCCGCCTCCTGCCCCGGCCCCAGAGCCCCCGGCACCAAAGCCAAAACAAGTGATCCACGCCACCAAAGACCACGTTGTCAGCATCAACTTTCATGCTCCAATTAAGAACAAATTCATCCCAACACTGAACATTGGAGGATTTGGTGGACCTGCACCCAAAAGTCCATCAGCTTCACCAAAGAAGAAGTCACCAAAGAAATCCCCTAAGAAGGGAAAGAGGCCACCCATGCCCAAAAAGAAGACTCCTTCTCCTAAGAAGTCCAAGGCCCCTAAACAGAAAGAACCTAAGAGTTCTCCTCCAAAGGGGTCCCCACCCAAGGGTTCTCCCCCTAAATCTTCTGGAGGAGCCGCTGGCCTCCCAATGAACCTTGTCTTCAACAACAACTTCCCACAGAACATGATGAATGTTGTCGGAGCTCACAACAACGTTAGAGGCAAGGGTGTACACATGCCAAACAACAATGCCGGAGGAACCCAAAAGGTCACCCAGAGCTACCATGCTACCGGAGGAATCCAGACACAGAGTGGTGGTCAAGGAGGTCAACAAGGAGGACAACAGGGCGGACAACAACAGGGTGGCGGACAAGGAGGAAGCCAGGGCGGATACAAAACCTGGGGTGGATCTAGATATACCAACATCCACTCAGTAAAATACCCAAGCAATGATGTCACAGTCATTGGAAGTGGAAATGAGGTTCACACCGTAGCTGGGTTATATAATAATGTTAAATACCAGAAGAAAGTTGCTCCCAAGCCAGATCCCATGCAGGGAATGCAGTTTAAACTTCTATTGAATTTGCTCCAGAAAATGGTTGTAAAAGTTAACCATGCACCACCAACAACACCTCCAACAGAAACAACTACCACTACCACTGAAGCCACGACAACCCCAGCAGAAACCACTACAACCACTGAAGCTACCACCACCACCACCACAACAGAGGCAACCACCACCACAACAGAAGCCACAACCACTACCACCACCCCAGAACCTACAACCACTACTACAGAGGCAACCACCACAGCATTCTCTTTGGCTCAAAATTCAATGCTGTTAGAAGCTCTTTTAGCGCAGCTCACTGGCAGTTCCAATGTTCAGACACAACAAGCTGCCGTTCTAGACCTCTATGGACGAGGAGGACAGAAATCAGTTTCCATGTCTGCTAACTCAGGAGCTGGTCAGCAAGCCACCTTAGACATCTTGGGTGCCCTGCAACAAGCTCCAACCACACCTCCACCCTATCTTGATCCAGTGGCCCAGCTTGACCTTCTTGCAGCTGGTGGAACTATCTCGAATTCCTACGCCGCTCCTGGTGCCGCACTCCCTGGAGTCACCCCTGCCCCTGCCGGTACTGCTGGAGGAGTTGACCTCGGATGGCTGGCCAAGTACATGCCTCAACTCGCTCTTCACAAACGGGCCCCAGTCAAAGTCATCTCTGGAGGTTATGGTAAAAGGAAGACTGTGAAGTGAAGTCACCGATTGAACTGATCTTCCAAATGACTATTCTTGTCTCAGTCAATATTAATTCTATTTTTTTCTGATGAAGTATTGTGATATTTATTTATCAGTATTATATGCAATCAGTGGTTAAGACAGGTATTTCGTATCAACAAAATTTTTCATACTTTCGAAATAGAGATGTATGAAATCCGTTTTCTGAGGCACGATTGTTAAAAAATGCAGGAATATTGTGGTGTTTACAGTGTTATTTATTTTTTAAATGTTTTCTTGTTGTGTTGATTGTGGCTTTGAACATGTATGGAATAAAGCCTTTACAATGAAAAGTTTTCAGTTTTTAATACTTTAAATCGCTTTCAAGATCAACGTTATCATAAAAAAGAAGGCAAAAAGCAAAATATTTATGGAATTTTAAGTTGTGAAGAGAAAAGATTTAATCAAGAAATGTACTCTATTTGAATTGTTGATTAACAAAACAAAACCGTGCTGATTAAATGACACATAACTTCCTTTTCTCTGACAATGTCAATTTCATGAAAATTATTGATTACAAATATATAGGATTGATTAAGTCATCGTCAAAAATATTTATGATATTTCTCAGATGTATGTGTCAGAACAAAAGTCAACGTTATTCATTTGATATGCAAACAATGCTCCGAAAGGTCATATATAATTAAGGAGCCATGTTTTCAATATATGCATAACAGATTCGTTAAATGAGCGACTAATGTATGATCACAAAAAATGATGATTAACAAATTAATTGGTAACAAGAGTACCTTGGGACGAGGAAATCAAAATTATTTTCAGACTGTCAAAATTTGACCCTTCTCATTGCAAGTGACGAAGTGAAGACACCGAGATGATCATGTTAGCATATCTTTGATCACGCACAGGTATCAATGTCATTCAAATTACTTATCGACATAGCACCATATTGACTGTAAAAAATGTAAAATAAATTAAGTTGATAATTAATTCATATGATTACCAACAGAGGAGGAGTATATATAAAGACAACAAACAACTATTAGATCAGATGAGAGCTATGGCGAGGAACGGGTTGGTTCTCTGTTTGGTTGGATTCCTCCCTCTAATACAGGTATATATCTATTTGATTTTGTATTGCAGTTTTACTATCTGTTCTTTTTAAAGTACATGTAAAAGTTTATTAATTAATATATTGTTTCGTTTTACTTCTTGCAGGGCTGGTATCAGAACCAAAATCAAAATGTGAACATCAATACGAATTCCGTGGAGCCTTTTGTTTTCGTTAGTCATTCTAATGCAGCTTCATACCCAAACACAAATGTTGTTACCCACACTCAAGGAACGCATGATACCCATGTCAGATTGAATTTCCATGCACCGATCAGCAATACCTTCACTCCAACTCTTAACATAGGAGGAGGTGGTTGGGGCCCAGCTAAGGCACCATCGGCTCCTCCCAAAACTGCAAAAGCACCGAAAAAGTCACCTACACCGAAGAAATCACCCAAAAAGATGAAGCTCCCCAAGAAGAAAGCACCAGCTCCACCAAAAGCCAAGAATCCTGTTCCCCCTACCACCTTACCTCCAATCCCGACAACGCCTCCACAAAAAGCCCCGAAAAAGGCTCCAAAGAAAAAATCTGGAGGTTCTCCCAAGAAGAAGGCTTCATATCCGCCTCCAAAAGGTGGATCACCATACCCACCACAAAGACCGCAGTCCCACTTCGTTAATATTAAGTCTATCAGATATCCAAGCAATCAAGTGACCGTTATAGGACATCAAAATGAAGTCCACACAGTGGCTGGGCTACGAAACAATATACAATATCAAAAGAAGGTGATGCCACGACCAAGTCCTAACCCAAATATGCAAATTTTGTTGAATCTCTTGCAAAAAATGATTGTGAAAGTAAATAAAAAGCCTGCTCCAACAACAACGACTACCACAACAGCAGCCCCTGAAACAACCACAACAACAACTCAAGCAACGACCACTGAAGCCACCACTACCACCACCACAGAGGCTACCACAACCACAACCACTCCTGCTCTAACAACCACACCAGCTACCACCACAACCACTGCTGCTACAACTACAACAACTGCGCTTCCATTCCCAACCTATACAATCCAGCCCATCAACCAACAGTCTCTTTTGATGGAGGCCTTACTCTCACATATGTTAGAGCCTAGTGCTGGCAGTTCGGCTTCTCTGAACTACATAGGAAATACGGGAAAACAGATATCATTGAACAGTGGAACGGCTTCACAGGGTAGTTCTTCTTCGCTAAGTAACTTTGGATTATCGTCCCAAGCTGCTACTGGCTCTCAGACCAACGTAGGACAGGGATCTCAACTGGGATTAGGAGCTGGATTTGGAAACTCAGTGGCTCTTGATGTATATGCTGCAGCATTGGCCAATCAGGCCACCTCACCCAACCCTCTGTTGGACCCCTTACAGCTACCTGGAGTCCTGTCAGGTTCGCCAGGAGGTGGCGCTAACACTGCTCCGGCCGACCTCGCCTGGCTACAAAACTACATTCCACAGCTAGCACTTACCAAGCACGGAAAGGTTGCTGTTGTGAAGAAATTGGCCAATAATAACAAAACAAAAGCTTTCATAAGCAAGAAACTATCAGTTTAGAACGGATAATTCAGAATCAGTATTAAAGAAAAGTGTGTAAAACGTTTGGATGTAAGCGGATGCAAGACTGTGTTTGTATATATACCTCAGGATACGACTTTATGATATAATTGTTCTTAAATTATTTCACTTTAAATGTTAATTTATTTATTGTATTTTGTAATAAATAATAAATTATTGCACATAAAAAGCTGTTAGATTTTCTTCAATACAGCATACTCTATCCATAAAATGTATGATGGTTAACTTTAAGGCTTGGTAAAAAATATTATAGCAAAGAAGCAAAATCAAATCTGAATTCATTTTATTTATTTTGAATGGAGTATTAAAAAATCTTAAAAACAAATACTATTTAAAATCATTGTTATTTTCTATACATCGTTTAAAATCATTGTTATTTTCTATACATCGATGCAGCAAAAATTAATTAATATGGAAGAAATATTAAACATGTATAGTGATGACACATTTGATTTACACAATTAAGTGTATTATACAATTATTCAGATTGTTACGCAGAAAACTGCGAAGCTTCAAAAAGATTTCCCCATTCTTGTGACAGGTAAAATCTTCAAGGTCGATTGATTTATGAATAATGAAGAAGGAAATTAGTGTGTCAAATTTACATTCCTCTTTCATTGAAATTCCATTAAGAATTGAATTCAACGAAAGAAAAAAATTGAAAAAAAAATTCCTCGGTATATCATCTTGACAAATCATCAGCAGTGCATTTCTTTGTGGATTTCATGAATACAATAACCGCATACAATGTTACTTTATGTAAGGATGTGAAAAGTAAGCATATGCTTTTAAAAATTTTCACTTGAAGTCTCTATAATTATACAAGACACTGTTTGAATTATCTTTAAATTTTTCATTTTTTCTTTTTGCAATAAATAACTCATAAAATTTTCAGAGCTTTTTTGTGACAGATAATAAATAGGAATGTTGAAAACATTTATATACACTAATTTTAAGATAAAATATTTCAAGCATATGTTTCTAGAATGTTAGTTACAAGTTAAGAATACAAATGTCTTTTGCTAATATTTCGTGCTCACTGTCTCATTATCAATTGAGCTCACATGATCGTTACAGTTAGATGAACCCGCCTTCCTAAAGCACTGAAACATTGTCCTTAGAAGTGAATGGTAATAATCCCTGAAGGTGATATCGAAATAACCATATACAAACGGATTGATGATGTTCGAAAAGAGATGGAACCTTCGAAGAAGAAGCAAAGTTGTCAACTCCCATCCTGTCATTTCTAACCAATAACTGGGTTTACCTCTCTGAATGAGGAGTAAGGAAAAGGTAGGTATGTAAGCCAGAAGGTAAGAAATAACTATAACTCCGAACATCATGTGAAAATTTAAGGTTTTGTTAGGTCGTCTGCGATTTTCGCGCCTTTCCGCTTTCAAATTTGTTTCCACGTCATTTGAATCTGAGGTAGCGGACGCCACAGCATCAATAGAATTCAATGAAAAATCTTGAGCATTTTGCGACGATTTTAATTCCCGATGTTTTCTTATAATCATCATTCCTACAGGAATGTAGAAAAGAGCGGTTGCCAGTATAAGAAGAAGTGATAGAATGAAAAGAAAAACTAGATAATTTTCTTCAGTTCCTACAAATCTACCAGCACTCGACTCACAGGAACACTTTGTCCTATTTTGACCGTCCAAGAGAAAAAGTTTGATTTCAACCGTTCCAGAGAAAATGCACATCGGAATAGCAATAACCAAAGGAACAAGAATAACAGTTAAAACAACTACGATCCTATGGCGACGAGGATCCAAGTATCGTTTGGTTGGTTTGTAGACGAGAAGAAACCGCTGTAATGCGATGATCAGTATCATCAGAGAGGAAGAGGAAGGCGTCGTCCACATAAAATACGTTATTGTTTTACACACCACGTTGGAGGGAAAATTTACATAGAAGGAATTGAAGAATATTACACTGACAACTGTATCTATACTGGTCAGGATATCAAGGACAGCTAATAACAGTATATAGAAACGGTTACCTCTCTTTTGCTTAAGGCGACACACATGAACAACTATTGAATTTCCAACAATGCCGATCACGAGAAGGCATCCTAACACAATGTTAAATGGAAGTCTGGACAAGGAAATGTCATGGTTCCATTTTGTAACTGATTTGTTAAAACTGAAGCAATCCATATTTCTAAAACACCATGCGGGGAAAAATATACAGTAGTCCTTTCAACTTATATTTAAGGAAACGTTTCGGAAACGACAATAGTTATAAATGTTTCCTTAAGTTTATATTAGTTTATAACTACATATTAACCTACATTGAAGTTCATATTAGGGACCAGACAAAATTTATCACAATGATGGGACCGGTACAAACAGGCATGGGACAATGAGTTTTTACATCGAGGAAAACATTGGAACAAAAACATTTTAGCATTAAAGTTACAGGGGCCCGTTTTACAAAAAAAACTTACGACTAACACCAAAAAAAAAAAAAACCGTTGATTATAGAATTTTGACAAATTAATTATTCTGTTTAAAGTTGTTAACATAAAAACCTCTTTCCAAATTCCTTTTATATAGATTAAAACCATTTTCAATTAAATGTAAATTAGAAAGTCTTAAGCAGAATGAAATGGTTCTGCATGAGTCGTAAATTCATTTGTAAAATGAACCCCTGTACTTTACTAAAGAGAAATATTCATTAAATTTTAAAATATATTGTTTTTTTTCCCAAAAAAATCTTTTAAAAAGTCATAAGGATAATGGCAACATAAATCTTCAAATTAATGGAAAATATTACAAAGTGACAAAGATTATGAAAATGAACAAACTTTCAACGATGTCTAAAATATCTGTTATCTGAAAGAATCCTTTGTCTTGTTCCAATAACTCTCACTAACTTCTCACATCAAGATGTAACCATGGGACAGTAATTTTTTATAAGTCTTAAGGCATGGGACAGATTTTTTTTAATACGAGTGTCATGGGACACGTACTTTTGTGAAATGAAAATTTTGTTTTGTACTGGTCCCATCATTGTGATAAATTTTTCCTGGTCCTTAATTGTGTAATTAAGGTCTTCCGTTTCAGACGGAAGACCTTATAGTGATTCTACTGTTTCTTTTTATTATTATTTTTTTCCCCTTTTCTTGTAAATCGGATTTCTCAGAGATGGCTAGACGGATTTTCCTGAAATTTTCAGGGATGATAGAGAATGAAAATACGCTCAGGCGTTTTTTTCATTTTTTCAAAATTCACTTCCGGTCGTCAGTTATGTCCGATTTCCGCTTTTTTCAAAAAAGTTTTGTCCGAGTCATATCTCAGAAACGGTAAAAGATAAAGACACCAAACTTATATGAGTGATAGATCTTGATAAGTAGGCAAAACCAATTGGGTTAACATCGTGTGCCGTCACTTCCGGTCGTCACAGGAAGTGATCAAAGAAATCGAAAATTTCAACTTTTTATTTTTTGAAACTTTTTTACATCACATTATATCTTGTTTTTTTCGAAATATATCAGTCTCAAAACAAAAACGACAACTTCCGGTTATAAAAAAAAACTGCATATTTTCAGTATTTTTCTCTCCCATAAATATTTTTTATGCGTAATGTATTTGAAATGGTTTTTGGATATGTTATTTAGACTGCAAATGTCTACAGTAACGTCAAATATCTTTGTAAAATTTACTTCCGGTCGCGTGATTTCCGGTCCTCAAAATGAGAAGTTATCATAGCTAGATCTCGTAATCGGTAAAAGATAAAGACACCAAACCTATCTAGAGTGATAGATCTTGATAAGTAGGCAAAATTAGTTGTGATAAGATCGTCTGCCGTCACTTCCGGTCGTCACAGGAAGTGATCCAAAAAATCGAAATTTTCAACTTTTCTTTTATGAAACTGTTTTAGCCTCACATTAGAGCATCTTATTTCTTGTTTTCAATTATTTCAGTACCACTGGAAACAAAAAGAGACAACTTCCGGTTAAAAGAGGGAAACTACATAATTTGAGTGTTTTTCTTTCTAATAAATATCATTTATTTATAAAGTATTTGTAATGATTTTCGGAAATGCTATTCAGACTGCAACTGTCTACATTATCGTCAAGAAATTTTTGCAAAACTCACTTCCGGTCGCGTGATTTCCTGTCCTCAAAATGAGAAGTTATCATAGCTAGATCTCGTAAACGTTGAGAGATTAAGACATTAATAAAGTGGTTAATCTTGATGAGTTGGCAAAAACAATTAAGATAAGATTGTCTGCCGTCACTTCCGGTCGTCACAGGAAGTGATCAAAGAAATCATGAATTTTAATTCTTCTTTAGGAATACTTCTTGGCATCACACTATTGCATCTTAATTGTTGTTCAGATATATGTCCATCCCAAAAGAAACAAAAACAGCAACTTCCAGTTATGAGAGAAAAACTTTATTAATTGAGTATCATACTATCCCATAAATATATTTTATAGAATGAGTACTACGAAACTACTTCCTTCAACCTTAAAATGATAAGTTTACAAAAAACCTTTTTTTGTTGTCGAACTCAATGGCTCAGTGGTTAGCGTGTCAGACTTTCATTCTGGTTTTGGGATCGAGCCTAGATCGAGGATTCTTCTTTTTTGCATTTTGTCCTTTATTTTTTTAAAATAGATAAATATCCTTCTTACAGATAAATAAAGAAGTCTGAAGAACGGAAGACCTTATTTGTTGCTGTAGCAACAAGAGTATCTAGTTTTATTTCTTTTTGTTCAATCATTAATGAATCATTGCAATTTTAATTATGTAATCCAGACTTTTTTTCTGATATTGAACAATTTTTGAATATCTAATTATTTTACCTACTAGGAATATATATTTTAAACTTACAAAACAAACCAAAGAGTTGGTTTTTTTTCCTACAAAAGAACAATTTTCGGATATCCGGACTTGTATGTTGAACAATGTAAATTGTAATCTGCTATTTCACGAAAAATATTAGGCCTAAAGAAATAAATTACAGTGAGTAGATTTCTTATTTAAACATTAATTTCTTAACTTTTGGTTTTCTCTGCTCCAATCTTTTTTTTTTTTTTTATTAAAAGACGATATTGATAGCTATTTATTCCAAGCAAATTATTTTCTTTGTAGATTTGTAAATTAAAAAAATAAATAGAAGAAAGGTGAGTTAAAATGAATCCTACCTTGCATAAAAGAACACAACCTGCTGCATGTTTGAATGAATCTGATTTGGAGAAAACGGATAAAGACGATTCTATCACGAATGAAGATGACCAGTGTCTGCAGGTCTCACAGAGTACGGACGACAAACACAGAAGACAACCAACTACTGAAAAGCCATCGTTCATTGCCAATAATGAACGATCATCCGAAGACAAAGAAACTACTAACCATTACTATTTTGAAGAAGGAAACGTAAAATCAAACGACACGCTGGTTGCTCCAGTTAGTGAGAATGTAGTGCTTGGCGCAGCCTCTTGTATTGATTGTACAGGCGAAGACTTTGAATTCCATTTGCAAGAAAGTATTCTTCTTGCGTATCAACATCCATTGTTTAAAATAGAGGAAGAAGAGCAAGAGTTCTATGAAAGCAATTATAAAGCAATCACAACCAAAGCAGAATTTAGCGACGATTCCATCAGAAAAAAGAGAACAGAAGAAAGGGATAGAAGACGGCGGTCGTTAGGGAAAAGCAAGTGGAGTACCGAGGCCAACTATGACTCAGACGAGAGTAGTCTCTCTTTGTCCGATGTCGAAAGTGAAGATCTGCAAAATGATTTGAATGGAGAGGAAAACTTCAAACTATCAGAAGCTTCAGGAGTAGATAAGAATGGGGTGTATCAGGAAGAGAAAAGTGAAAACAACAACGACACGTTTACCAAGGATAGTTCGGACAGTGACGACAGCGACATCATATTACCATCTAATGGAGTCCAGCAACATGACTACAATAAAGAGTTGGTCTTTGACATCGATAAATACCCAGAAACACAAGGCTTCAGAATTGAAGAGGCTATCGATGGATCCGTCATTCGTTTAGGATTTCTTTCATGCAACAATTCAGAGGAAATATCACTGGTCCAAGGAACAAGTGAAAACTCTACAGAAACTGAAGCCAATCAATTGTCTTTAACAGAAACACACGTCGAGAATAACATTTCCGAAAATATTAATAAGACTGCAGATTTTAATGTTGAGATTGAAGTTTCTGAATCTGGTCATGTTGATTGCTTGAGTGATAACTGTAGCTCACTTTCAGATAACTCAAGTACTGACGATGTGACACACAGCAAATCAGATCACTACGGTGCCAAGAAAAAGGAGGTTCTGTCTTCCACAAATGCGAAAAGTACTCACATCAAGGGGACAAAGAATAGAGAAAGCAAAAAAGATTCTAAAAGAATGGATCAAAAACTGAGCAACAAATTCGATGATGATCCAGCTGATAATATCTCTGATAATGAAGAGAAAGCAATGGAAACATCTCAAGAAATACGAAATCAAACCCCTAGTCAAAGTGATCATTATGAAATTCAGACTGGTAAGAAAAGAGAAGCTATTTCATATGAAAATAAGAATTTAAACACTAGATCGGGCATGCAAAACTCTACACATGTTACTGGAGAGGGAACGAACCAAAGTAATGAGTCTTATAAAAGCAATTACGATATTGAGGAATATCCATACACTCCACGCAGTAGTGTCAGCGACCATCCTGGTGATGAGGTTTATGATGAGGATCAAGAAGAAGGGGAGGGAGGCGATGCCATCGACGACTTTGTAAATGATGATGACATAGTTTCTCACATGAATGAGAAAAATGTTGACAAAAGTAAATCAAATGAACCCTACGATTGCCCTCCAATAGAATATAAATGAATTGAAAAATACTTCAAAGTTCACTTTGTAATCTTTTTAGGTCAACTCAGGTGACCTATTGCTATCACTTTTCGTCCGTCGTCGTTCGTCGTGCGTTAACATTTGAACATTTTCAGCTTCTTCTCTGAAACCACTGAACCTACCAAATTTGGCATATAGCATCTATGGGTAAAGAGGAACAAAAATTGTGAATTTCATGGTCCCTGCCCCCCTGTGGCCTTGGGGGTGGGGCAAAAACCACTAAAATTAGTGCAATCTTTAAAAATCTTCTTCTTTACTCCTGGACATCAAGCAGTCAAACTGTTTGCATGATTGTAATCA